TTTCTGAAATTGTATCCTTTGTTGTCGGAACTGTGCTGAATTATTCGTTGAGATAGCTCACAGAAATTTTATTATTCCCACAAATACATTCAAATACATTCGAACACAACAACGATGGATCAACGAACGGGAAATTCCCCGAAGATCATTGGTAAATATTACCGTGCATATTTGGTGATCGAATAAGTACTGAAACTTGACATATGAAAAACCCACGATATCTCGATGTCAATTGCGGCAACAACGAAAGACGTGGAACGTTAGGAAATGTTAGAAAATCGAATAAAATGATTGTTATTAGTAGAGTTCGGTCGAAAGGCCCTGAACTTCAGAAATACTTGGAAGGCGACGAGTTTCGGGGCCCTAGACCAAATCCTAATTATTACGAAGTTTCGCTGCTAACTACGGCCATGCTCGGTACTGAGCTACGAGTCCGCTTGACTCTAGTTCAGGGTGAGGCGCTCGAGTCACAAATCTGGATTCTCACCGCTATGTTCGGATGTTAGCAGAAAAACCTCTATGAAGCAAAACTTTCCTTTTGAATCAATCGTTTCCTAATGTTAATGTAAAGCAAGGCGAACGCTGAAATAATTGACAGAAGAGAACGAAATTCATTTACGCAACAGAATACACAAAACAACAACAAAAACAGAAGTAAACTCCGAATGAAACAAAAAACTAAAGTTTCAAAACAGCGATCAAACTGTTGCGATAATAACGAGTGAAGGAAGTACTGAGGTAATCAGGAAATTAGACTATAGTATGAACGAACTGAACACTTAAAAGCATCTTCAACAAAACTTCTCGATAGCCAAACCTCTGTTCGTTTACGCAATGTGCTTTCAAGAGTTTTTGGATCACTGAAGTAAGTGTACGATTGAGCATATGGGAAGTTGTGTGATTATAACGACTTATAAGTAAAAGAAGAGAAACATGCTCTGATACAGGTGTGTCTAAATGGTTTTAGATGTATCAGGAGCCGAGGTTTGACCATAGGTGCATATGGTTAGGTAATATCCGAAAACTGCGTGAACATGAAACAAAAAAGAATTTTTTTTTNTTTTTTTTTCCTTCATAATAAACTTCAAGTGAGATCACAATAAACAAACACGCGTGTTCATAAATTAAACAATAAACAGTAATCCTTTAGAGCGCAGCGTTTCCACTTCGGAAACTTGTTCAATTACCGGAACAGTGTTAAATTTGAGGAAAACTAAGTGTACATATGTCTCATTTAGCCTAAAGTTAGCAAGACACAAATTCAGACTTCTACTTCAATTGTTTCAATGTGCCAACTCTAAACGATCAAAGATACAACTGATTTCTTAAAGCTGATTTTAGATACATACATGAACAAGAATAGCCATGGAGAAGATTTCGACTATTGCAACAGCCTTCCCGATTCATTGATCTGATGAAATTTTTTGGTAACATCTTTTTGATGACTGCGTAGAACATGGAAAAAATATGCCAAATGTTGCACTTTCGTTAATGAGTCGCTTTTTTCTGTTGGGGATCGGCCATAGAACTTACATTCAGAGTAATTTCACATATTACAATTCGGTACAAATCCTCTCGGATTATTTTGGAAACATGGCTGTTCCACTACATACATGTACGTACGTACGTACAGTTACGAATGATCACAAATACGGATAGGCAGGTATATCATGAATATAAAGCCGGATCAGTGAGTGGCATCAATAAAAGCATCCAAGCAAAGAAACCACCTAAATAAGAGATCCAAAGTAAAATTCTTGTGGAACGTTTCGGATATGAATCGATATATTCAAAGGACGGTAGACCCATATTGTTGCAAATTGAATGACACACAATTGGAGCGATTATATTTCCTGAATGAACCAAAAAAATAGCACACAGACGTTTGCGTCACAAAATTAACAAATTTATCTCCTCATTATTAAATTATCTCAAATTAACAATTATTTATTAATTGTTAATTAATAATTGTCAATTTCAAATTCAAATTCCTCATCTCTCCAAATTACCAAATATTTTATCTCCTCACTAAAACATCATTGATTTCATATGTCGCATCCAAACATTCCATTAGAAATTCCAAAAATCCAATTAAACACTGAGAAAGGATTTGATCAAAATGCGATGAAAAAATACTTACCAACGCGAACGAACAGAAATGTTGCATAAGCTCCGAATAAATAAGAATACGATGTTTGAAAAACTGAAAAGGAAAAAACTTTACACTCTGAGAACTTGCGATAATTTTGATTTTCGTTACTCAGCAGCAATAGTCAAGTACAATTTCGGAAACACTGTTCACTGGAAAGGAACTGAACTGCGCCACAACAAAATCTAATGTGATGAAATGACGCAAAGTAAAGTTTAATCACCCCTTTGAGGTACTGCTTGTTCCCTGGTCCGTCCACGTTTCATATCATCGAAAACATGATGTAAATGACTGAGGGCAAATGGCAACGGAGCGATAAAGACGGTGGCTGTTGTTGACAGACACTGCAACATCAGTGTGGCTGTACATGCCCGGAACGCCAGCTCCTCTGTTACTGGAGCCTAAAATTAAACTCCAAATTGCAAGTGCCAATCCAAGATTCATTGTACTGCTGCAATACCAAAATTACCATCAGAATCACGATCTAATTCCAAACACTCACCATAATCCTATTACGAATCCATGTAAGTTTCGTCAAGTTATCTCGCCATTGTAATAGTCCTGAAATGACTCAATATGTCACAACAATATTTGTGTGAATGATTATTGCCAACGTTCGTTAAGGATAACTTCAAACGAAGCATTATCACTAACCGAACAGTTCACTAAGATGTCCATCTACCCAAGCCATGACCCAGTCGCCTAAATAAAATACTGACGTGAGAATGGCTGGGATAAAAGCAGCCGAAAAGATGGCTCGCCTGTGGATACCCATCACTCCGAAAGGATCTCTGTGATACTGAAATTAACACAACTACACCGAT